GAAATATAATTAAACAATAAAAATTTAGTGAAGTCACTAATCAAACAATAAAAAAGGGAGTAGAAATTATAAGTTTAAAGGCTTATCAAAATATAAAATAAAATGAGGAAGATGAAACAAAACAAACCAGATGATGTTTGAGTGTAAATCTATGGCCATGTTACTACATTTTATATGAGTTTTATACTTTTTGGAAGTTAAATTAATCAATTAATAATTTTGTTGCAAATACATAAATCGATTCAGTGACAAGAAGAGAACAATGTTAACAAGATATATGAAAGGTATTCACATAAAGCAAATTTCAAATCATTATTCTATTGAAATTTACAAAAAAGTAATAAGTAGGCTGATAGTCAAAATTAATTACCTAGATCAATACATTGAAGATATGATCAATGCATATATAAGATGGAAAACGACACCAAACAGAGGTTGAATAAGGAAATCAATAAATAAATCAGTCATATTTAAACGAAGATCGTTAATCAATGAAGACTAATAAATCGAAAAAAGAATATTCAGATTTTTTTAAATCTCGGAGGTGTAAAACAATACTTAGAGAAACAAAATTTATTTTCAAGATCCACAGAAATCTATATATACAAACAAAGAGGTGTGAAAAAATAACAGGTGCAAAAATTTTAAGCTAGGGTACGACGAATAAACACAATTGTTAGATATAAAACTTTGCAACTTTTGGGATCATTAACAAATATAACCAGTTTAAAGGCTTATCAAAATATAAAATAAAATGAGGAAGATGAAACAAAACAAACCAGATGATGTTTGAGTGTAAATCTATGGCCATGTTACTACATTTTATATGAGTTTTATACTTTTTTTGAAGTTAAATTAATCAATTAATAATTTTGTTGCAAATACATAAATCGATTCAGTGACAAGAAGAGAACAATGTTAACAAGATATATGAAAGGTATTCACATAAAGCAAATTTCAAATCATTATTCTATTGAAATTTACAAAAAAGTAATAAGTAGGCTGATAGTCAAAATTAATTACCTAGATCAATACATTGAAGATATGATCAATGCATATATAAGATGGAAAACGACACCAAACAGAGGTTGAATAAGGAAATCAATAAATAAATCAGTCATATTTAAACGAAGATCGTTAATCAATGAAGACTAATAAATCGAAAAAAGAATATTCAGATTTTTTAAATCTCGGAGGTGTGAAACAATACTTAGAGAAACAAAATTTATTTTCAAGATCCACAGAAATCTATATATACAAACAAAGAGGTGTGAAAAAATAACAGGTGCAAAAATTTTAAGCTAGGGTACGACGAATAAACACAATTGTTGGATATAAAACTTTGCAACTTTTGGGATCATTAACAAATATAACCAGTTAGATGACATAACGGGAACAATCTCATCCATTAGATTAAAACGATGATCTCAACAATCATATAAAGTGGGTTTGAGAATTCACGAAAAGGTAATAACAATTAATACATTTAGATAATAATGGCTAAGCAAATTTAAAGTCAAATAGGATTGGAAAAACAAAATTTGAAGAAACAATTGTTTCAGGAAAATAAATTTGTAATTTGTAAATAAAATAAAACAAAACAATCAAGCTGTAGAATATTTATATATGGAATGAAAGAGTGTGATTGTGAAACATTGCATAGATTAAATTACAGGGGTATTTTTATTAAAATACACATCTTTTTAAAAAGACATAATTAAAAGACACATCCTGACACATTTTTTGCTTTTATATATACTAAGATTAAACAATAACCTTTAGATCAAATAAAAAACAATCTGAACCGTTAGATTCAAAAGATGACATCAGCAGTAAACAAAAAGTGGGTTTGCTATTATATATAGATAATGCTTACTTAAAAACCAATCTTTCTTATGAAAACATACTAATATAGCTACTAGTTGTTACTTTAGTTAAAATTACTGTATATTATATAGCCAACACCAACAACATGGCGTTGTTTTCTGCAACTAAACACCGTCGTTTTGTAACGGCGCCATCTAAATTTGCTCCTAGACGGAGAGAGAGAGAGAGAACAAAATCACGAATTGGTGTTTTATGATTTCTGAATGATTGAAAAGCTCCATCTCCTGAATCCGCAGATGTTCTTCCCCGAGACAATGGGTCCGGAGACAACGGATATATTTGCACAAGACTTCTCCGTTGAGGAGTTCGACATCGATTTCGAATTCGACGCTCCTCGATTCTACGACTTCTCCAAACCAGAACACCATTCAGAAACAGAGGAAACAAAGCTCTGGTTTGAATCAGCTGGAAACTATCCTCCTTCACGTACGATCTTTTTTTTATATACATATTGTGCATGAAGATAAAACAAGACTTTGTTTCCTGATCATGTTTACGTCTTTTTTGTCTCAGCGTTTAGTTTAACTTTGAGCTCGAGATATGAAGATATCCCCAAACCGATCTCAGATAAATACAACGGTATTACATGTTTCAATTTCTTTGTCTTTGGTTTGTTTTCTTACAACTCAAGGTTTATTATGGTTTTTAGGGTTCATATATTACAACGGAGCTTCGAAAGATGTCCCCGAGGCGACGCACAAGTCTAAAACCAAACCTATTCTACGAAATAACTCTACTTTGACAAGACCCACTGCTTCTTTGTTGGCAAGACAGAACAAACCTCTCGACATTTACTCTGTTCGGCTTCTCACTAGGTATATAACATTAGTCCTCTTCATCAGCCTTTTTTTTAAAAAAAATCTTAGCTTGAACTGATTTGATGTTACGTAGATGTCAGAGATCATTAGGAAAGGTGGATGACAAGTTCTCTTCTCTCTTATACTCTATGCCTCAAACTCAAAATAACAAAAGGCAAAAACTTGAAACTGGCTTCTTGCCCAAGGTGCTCTCATACATTATCTAAGTACTCAATACTCTCAACTCATTTTGTTTTGGAACTAATGTTATTGTTGATTTGTCAAGTAGATCTCACGGCTGGACCAAACTCCTTTTGTACATAAGATACCAAAGAAGGTAATGCACGTTGAGATTACACATTCATTGTATCATCATCTTTGTGTATCTATATTTGTATTTTTTGTGTTGACAGGGGTCCAAAGTCACTGTTCCAAAGGAACCTAACCTCAAGACTGCTCAAAGGGCTACAAGACCCCGGTAAGGACTTTTAATATGTTGTGGTTCCTTTAATGGCATGTTTACTACATCTCTGATATGAATCTCTTTCAGGTTTAAGGCTAAGTCAGCACCCAAGCAGATCACAACATTCAGCAAAACAGTGCGTGTGTGCCTACTTTTTTTGTGTTTCTTTCACTGTCACCAACTCAGAAGCATGTAACAGACACAAATCTTTGCTTGCAGGTTCAAGAAACGTCTTCACCATCTTTGCCTAAAAAAAATACGCCTCACCCCCAAGATTTACAGGTCAAGATCTTCTAAAGGACAATTTAAAACGCTTTATCATTACATAATTCTACCAGCACTTTTCATTCTTTCTTTTGTTTTAGGCATGTCATCCAAGGACAACTCTTAGAGCGAGAGAACGCTCTTCGAGTAGTGTAAGTCTCATTTGTGCTGTTTGTGGATTCTCATTCTCTCCAACTCTAAAGTGATGCTTCTCATTGCAGGCAAAAAATGTACCTACCGATGATGATATAGACTCCTCAACGTTAGTCCATAAGCCTTCTATAAATCCCATTTATAATGTCCTTCTTTTCTTGCATTGACTCGAACATAAATCAAGACTTGTCAAAATGTTCTTTCACGTCTTGTGCAGTTCAAAGTCCGTTAGTTCCAGGAAGGGTACGCGAGTCAAGGAATCTCACAGGTCAAAAACAAATTGTCAACATTATGAATCTAAGATTTGCCCTCTAGACTCAAAGGTGATGCAGGTTTCGTCCTTCCACTATAACTAGAATCAATGAAAGGTCATTAATGAACATTAAAACAAAGAAAACTCACAAATATCATCTTTTCTTCGATAGACATCAAGCAAATTCGGTGAAGCAGTCGACATCAAACAAGAAAACAATTTACTGAGGGTAAGTCACTTGAAATTTATACTGCAGACTACAGTTAGGTTCTTGAAACTTTTACAATGTGCTCATCGATCATGTGATATCTCTAGATCACCGAAGGTACAAAAGACACAAATTTTCGATATGAACCCTTTATTGAATCTCTCAGCAAAGTAAGCGTTCATCATCTCTAAGTTTGCATACAAATTGTTGTATTTTTTGTTACCAATTTTAAGAATGTTTTCATTCACTGCAGCTACGTCTCACTTCAGATACTGATTCAGTCGCGGTACTTTTAGATTAGTTGCTTCTCTTACACTCTTGTATCTCACCTACATAGAGATTTTTCAAGACATATATCGTCCTTGTACAAATTAGACATTGCTATGAAGGAATCTGAGAGCTTCAAAGGGAAAAAGATTCTCCATGTTAACAGGTATAGAAATTAGAAACCTGATGTTTTTATCTAATCAAATATTGCATTTCCTAGAGTATTTGGACTATCTCCAACAGTTACATTCTAACAGGAGCTTGAACTTGTGTTGCAGGATTCACAAACAAGTACCTACTCTCTTCAAGATTCAAATTTTTCTTAATTAGTCGTAGACGTGTCATGTATCCTCAACGTTTGTGTTTAGTGACTTTCGCTTGCCATGTAAAAATGTACAAAGAACATATAACAGTGTGAAAGAAGTACGCATTGATGGATGTGAGCATTAAAGAAGAGATTGAAAGTTTTTTAACGATCTCGTGAAGATGTCCCTTGGAAAAACCATTAACTTCACCTACTCTTTCACCTATCCCATGTTCTTATCTTTAATGCCTTGAGTTTACTCCCTTTACCAAAATACCCCTGATACTAGCCCAAAATCACATAAAAACAAACCGGCCCCTCTGATCTTTTCTTGCCATACAAGAAAACGAAACAGAAAAAGCTAAACAGAGGAAACCCTACGAGTTATTTTCTTATAAGCTACTTTTGGAGATGTCTTCACGGAACTGAACAAACCACTGTGGGGTTGCTGTATCTGAAGAGTGGCTCTCACGCCTTTCTTCCGCTTCTGGCAGTTTCGCAGGCGACTGTAACTTTTTTGGAGGTGGAGACGGGAGAAGAGAGAGAAGAACCCGAGAGACTTCCTGCATTGTGGGTCTCTCCAAAGGATTTCGCTTGGTGCACAAGAGAGCTAGCTGAAATGTCTTCTTGATGTGCCCTGAGTCCACACAAGTCACTGACACCTCCGCATCAACAGCTTCCATCACTGTGTTATCATCCGCCTTCGAAAGAATCTGCAACACAAGCTAAATGATATCACGTTGTTTCCAAGAATAAACTTGTAAACACTACAGTTAAATTCATACCATCTGATGCAAGTTGGCCTCGTTATCCACAGCCTTCTTCCCGGTCAGAAGCTCAAGAAGAACAATACCGAAGCTGTAGATATCAGACTTCTCGTTTAGACGCGAAGTTCGAGCATACTCTGGGTCAATATAGCCAATGGTTCCAAGAACATAGGTTGAAGCATAAGTTTTGGTGGCTGGTATGCTCTTGGCAATCCCAAAATCTGACAAACGCGCTTCAAAATTCCCATCAAGGAGTATGTTTGATGACTTGATATCCCGATGAATTATTCTAGGAGTGCAGTCATGGTGAAGATAAGCAAGTCCTTGCGCAGCTCCAACTGCAATCTTCAGCCTTGTTTCCCAGTCAAGCTTCACTTTCTTCCCAGGCCCTGCTTCATACAATCACTACTTTACATTCCAAACTAGAAAACAGGTTTGAAAAATTACGTAAATAAAGAGAAGATTTTCAAACCATGAAGAAGGTCCCAAAGAGAGCCATTTTCCATGTAGTCATAGAAGAGGAGGTTGCCAAAGGGAGACAAGGCATATCCGTGCAAGCTCACTATGTTTCTGTGTCTGATGCTCCCAATGGTCTCCAGCTCTGTCTCAAACTCGCGGAAGTTGTTGGGATACTGGTTGTAGATTCGCTTAATGGCAATAGGTCGGGAACTTTTGGAGGTGCACTTGTAAACCGTGCTAGAGGCGCCGTATCCAATTATGTATTTCTCACTGAGGTTTTCTGTAACTCTCATGATATCATCAAACGTGTGAATAGCCATGTCCATGTGAAGAATCACCAGCTTCGTTGACCCTGAAGATTCCATACAAGACATATCATAATGCTGCTGTGAATTCTAAATAACAAAAGAAAAAAAGAGAAACTATGAAACCAATACCTTCAGGTTGTTTCGAAGTGCTTTTCAAAACTGGTTTTTTCTGCTTTGACTTATAAATCGCAATGAATATCATGCATATGAGAGTAATGAAACCGAGTACCATACAAATCACAGCAGCTCTGGTGAATACTGTCAAGCAAGAAAAGATCCAATGAAATTTATTAGAGAAATGTCAGTAAAAGACAATGCAACAGAATAAAAGCTGATTGATACCTTGTGACTTGGGCAAAGATGGGCCGCAGATTGATCCAACCCAGTCCCCACAGAGAAATGGATTTCCAAAGAAGCTAATAAATAAGAAAAGGTAGATTTAGTATACGTGTTATATGACAGATTAAGAGAAGTGAAAATATTACACCGCTGATACCTGGCCGGGGCAAAACGCGAAAAGTTCTTCATAGGTGGAATTATTCCAGATAGGTTGTTGAAGGAAATGTTCCTAAGATGGAAATAGAAAGAGCAGGGAAGATATTTGAATTCAGAAACGATCATTTCACTATCTGAGAGCACACATCTTGTTGTAACACACATCTTGTTGTAACAAAAGAAAACGTACAGATTAGCAAGACTGAAGCAATTTGTTAGCTGATCCGGAATTCTCCCATGAATCTTGTTGTTGTTCAATATCCTGTACTTAGAAGCAAATAAAAGTTATTTCTCTTTATGATACGGTAAATTACTGAGGAGAAGGGATGCTGTTTACTTACAGAGAGTTTATGTCCTGCAACTGGCCAAGTTCAGTTGGAATAACACCGGCAAGAAAATTGAATGATACATCACTGAGAAGGAATGAGAAAAGTTTGTAAGTAGAGAGATTTTATCATAAAGGAGAAAACTAGAGCATATGACAATATTTACATGATCTGAATGCTTCGGAGGTTTCCAAACTGTGCAGGTAGTGTCCCGTTGAAATGATTTCTACTCAAGTTTCTAAAAATTAAAGCAAATCTCAAGTCAATAAACCTGTAAGAGTTACTGCAAAAGCAATGAGCATTAGGGGTTGACGACAACATACAAGATGAGAAGATGCTCAAGATCACCAAGTGTTAATGGTATTGGCCCTGAGAAATTGTTGCCTGACAGATCCCTGAAACCAAAGTTTGTATGAGTTGATCCACATATATTGGTATCAGTGAACAGCAATGTAATGCAGCAATAAATAACATACAATGTATCAAGATTGATAATATGACCCAGCTCAGCAGGTATTTTTCCCTTGAAACTGTTTGATGAAAGATTCCTGAAATTTAAAGAACAAAATTAATATTGACAGACTTATATAGTCCATAGAATTATATTTGATTATGCACTCTTTGAAACTTACAGAGAAGTCAAACTTCCAAGATTCCGAAATTCAAGTGGTATAGATCCACTCAGGGAGTTCCCATGCACATTGCTAAAGACAAGAAAGCATAATAAGATAAGTTTTCAGGGAGAGAATCAATAAAAGATAAAAAGAGGGAAACATAATTATGAAGGGTTATCTTACAATTGATTCAAGGCTGCACAGGAACTAATGTTAGATGGAATTGGCCCTACAAGATGGTTGTTTGCAAGATTCCTGCACCGTAAAGTTACATCAATATGCTTATTAAATACAATAGGATGAAAAATAATTAAGCATACTCAAGAGGATAGAACTCACAGTTCGAACAATTGTTCCAGCTTCCCAAGCTCAGGCGGGATGGTTCCCACTAGTTCATTATCATTTAGTTGCCTACGAAATAGTAAACCCTCAAAAGTCAGAATAAGCTTTGAGAAGAATAAATATCCATGTTTACAATTAATCTTACAAATAACTAAGTCGTGACATATTGCCAAGCTCAGGTGGTATGGGTCCAGTGAGCTTATTGCCATGGAGATACCTATTTTCAAGCAAACAAAAACTTATCTGTAATCGTGACTATTAAAACATAATCATGACACATAGTGAGGAAAACGTATCTGACTCACAGTTTTCCGGTAAATGAGAGATTCCCAAGTATTGGTGGGATAGGCCCAGTTAATTCATTGTCACTCAAATCCCTGAGCATAGGATAAGTTTTTTCACTTAGTCAGAAGATCAAGAAAAGGATTTAAAGAGCAAGCATTTGGATATGAAGAAGACATACAAAACAGCTAGAGCCTGCATCAGACCAATGACTTCAGGAATTGTACCGGTTAACCTGTTTCCTTGAAGTGACCTGCGAGTGAAACCAACAGCAATTTACTAAATGAACTAGTTTAAAAAACCATACAAGACGTTTAAGTGTGTTAAAATTACTTACAGAGTAGCTACTTGGAGGAAACCAATATTATAGGGTATGACACCAGTGATCTGATTATAAGATACATCCCTGCGAATGCAAATGACAAATAATTACACATACATCTCCAAGTTATGTGCTGTATAGTTCATTACTTAAGGTGAAGACGCATACAGGATCTCGAAGCTTGTGCAATTGCCAATGCTCTCCGGGATAGTTCCAGTAAGGTTGTTGCCTCTCACGTCACTAACAACAGTAAACATTCACTTATAACTTGCTAGAAATCCAAGGTAAGAAGGCGCAATTGTGAGCTGAACCGGATTCACTTACAAGTACCAAAGACCCGTCAGCTGACACATATCAGGAGACAATGTCCCAGTTAACATATTCCCACGTAAACCGCTGCAAATTGAATACACAACAATCAGAAAAATAAATCTCTAGGATACCTTAACAACTTAAGGACAAGTAGAAGAACTACTTACAGATACTGTAAAACTTCATTCCAGTAGAGTAGCCTTGGTATCTCACCAGTTAGCTGGTTTCTTGCAAGGTCACTGCAGAACAAAGGAAAGAAACTATTATTCAATGAAAATGATCACTTTGTTTTCAGTAACCTGATTCATATTTAGAATGGCACTGGAAACTAACAGGGTCTTAAGGTTTGGAATCTGAGTTAATGTTGCTGGTATTGGGCCTGTGAGCTGATTATTCTTTAGGTTCCTGCATTAGCAAGAGAATGAAACAGTAAGGAGATATTATCCTGAACAGGCAAAGATAACACACAAATGCGAAAGAAAGAAGACGTACAGAAACTCAAGCAGTTTGAGTTTAGAGATTGAAAACGGAATGTCTCCAAACAATAAGTTGGTGGAGAAATCCCTGAAACAAGAAATGTTTTTAGGACAATGGAGATACATTAAGTTCTCATTAACATGAAAATTCAAACATTCACAAAACCTACACATAAGCAAGAGAAGCACAGTTTCCGATCTCATCTGGAATTTGACCACCCAATTTATTCCCTTGCAAGTCTCTGCCAAAAGCATAGCCAAGACAACAGCTTGGTTAGGATTCAAAACCATAGTTCTTCTCAAAACAAATACAAATGTAAAGAGAAAAGAGAAGACAAACATTGACTGCAGATTCCTCAAATCTCCAAGAGCTGGTGATATCTCCCCACCAAGATTCAGATTTGACAGATTACTTCCAACAAGAAAAACAAAATGTCAAATAAGAAAAGTCTGTATCAAAAAAAAAGAAGGAGAAGAAAAAGAAAGAGATGAAAAGATCCTTACAGAGAGACAACGGAGAGGCTAACGTTATCGCAGAAGACACCTCTCCAAGAACAAAAGTCATTGTTGTGAACATCATCCCAATCAAGAAGCATATTGGCCACGTTGCTGAATGAGGCTTTTATCGCCATCAACGCTTTTCCTGTGCAAAATCAAAAACACTTATTAAAATTAATAAACAAATCAGAAAGGATTATTTAATCATTTGATAGTGATGATAGTCAAATGCTTAAATATGAAGCCACATGCCAAAACTAAAACTCCACTTGATTTGTAGAGTAAACTTCACTGTGGAGTGAGTTAGAGCACAATCAGCACATAATAGACGTATTGGGTAGAATCATAAAAAAAAAAAGTTTTCGTCTTTTTGGCTTTCTCGGAAACAGTCAGTGTTTGTAGATACATATTAACAGATATGATGTTTTCAGAATCAAAGGAAATGTTGCAAATTTATAAAAGATAATCTCTTCAGAATCAAACAGACGCATTTTAAAGATTTCAGAAAGCACCATTAAACCCTAATTTCTGGGAAACCCCAGTCAAACTTAGAGAAGCTCTCTCGTGGCTTGTTCGCCAGAGACAAAAATAAGCTAGCTTTTAAAACTTAATCATAAAACTCAAACGGAAACAAAAAAAACACAAACAAAAGAAACTACGAAAGAGTTAGAACCTTGGTTGTTCATTGGAGAAACAACACCGAGAAGCATGAAAACAACCATCCCCAAACGAAAACCCAAACCTTTCATCTTCTCTATCCTTATCATAGTCTTCGTCTTCTTCCTCAAGTCTCAAAAAAAAACAAAAACAGAAGAAACAAACCCAGATTCCTTTTTCTGTTAAAGAAGGGTTTTTTTCTTTTTAAGGTAAAAGCCAGATCCTTTGAAGCTTCTAGCAAGAATCAAAAATCAAAACAAGCAAAAAGGGTACAGAGTCGTTTTGCCATTGTTGGGAGAGAACAAAGAAAAGAGAGAGAGGGGACCGACACAGGCGATTAGCGTGAACTGGAAGGAAAACAGAGCTGAGATGTTTAAAGAAGAGAGAGAAGAAGAAGAAGAAGTAGAGAGGACAGGCTACATTACTCTAGAGGATGAGCTCCGACGCCATGAAAGAGAAACTTTCGTACTCCTATTAGACAACGACAAAATAATGTCAGAACAATATACATACACTTATATATATATTTATGTATCACTTCATAGTTTACTACTAAACACTGCTAAAAACATCTCCGATCATGTTTATGAGACAGTTGATCGAAATGATTTTTGATTTGTTTTTTAGTACATTAACGACGTTAAGGGTATTAAACGGAGAGTTTTTTACTTGTCCGTATGATTTGACGGCGACGGTTGTAAAAGCAAATAAAAACGCCGTTTTCCAATGCAAAGGTAAAAAAAAAATAGAGAAAAGAAGAACGTCTTTTAAGAGTCCGGGTGAAAAGACATTCCTTTGTTTGGGAAAAACCCGTTTTACTCGCGCGTGCTTCAGTTTTAAAATTGGATCCAACGGTGAAGAGATCATGTACCGAGACATGTTATCGTGGAGTGCGATGTAGAGAACTAAACCATGCTCTTCCTTGTGATAAACTGATAATTAGTTAATGCTTTGATAGTGATTGGTTGAAAGGGAGCTGACACCGGTTTGACCGGTTTGGTTCAGTTGCTGTAAATTTAGATGAGTTTACATTTCAATTTTTCGTAGTTAATTTGATTAATTTGGGGTTGAATAATAAAAAAAAAGTTGGTAGAAATGTAGAGTGTAATAAATAAATAAAAAAGGTAAAAATAAATGAGCAGTAAATATTTACTGTGGATTGAAAGAGCAGAGATCGTGTCTAAAGCTATCATAGGATAGGCTCCGTATAAAGCTGTTACTCTTTTCTCTATCGAAGCTATATATATATATATATATCTCGTCATTTTATTTTATTTTATCGGTTTTTAAATGTATTTCCTTTCGAGTCTTTTACATCGGGTTTGAAGTCTTCTTATTCAAAGTATTTCTTTTACTTTTAGGTTTATTGGGTTTACAATTTAGAAGACGATGAATACTAATACCAATCTTATCATCGTAAAATAAACATTACTAGTATTTGAGATTTTGTTTAGAAGGGTAACAACACAACAACACTGTGATTGATCTTGTTCATGATCACATTGAAGCAAAAGAAAGTTTTGTAGAATAGACGAATGAGGTTCAAGAGTGTCAGACCGTAGGACCCAAAAGATATCCAAGATGGAAAGTATTGGTCAAACCCCAACCGTCCGATTGAACCGATGGTGTTTAGTTCTCTTCTCTCGGTGGGTTGCCCTAATGGCTTGCTTTTTGGCTGCTTCCTTTGCTTCCAAATCTCACCTCTTCTTTTCTTTTTCCGACATCAAATTACAAATTTTTAAATATGAATTTTATATGGTAACGTATACAATCGAAAGAAGAAAAAAAGTTCTATCGAGTTACGTTTGGTCCTCTTAGCTTAAAATGGACCGACCGTATCTTCGTCCTTGCTGGTTTCGATCTTGATTCTTCTGTGTTGTACTACCTATATATATATTACTCTGGTCATACTTTTTGATTTATGTGTGTATACCATCAAGGAATACCAAAATATATCGTTAATCTTTTTGATATATAATTAAGGACTAATTTATACAGTATATCACTTGGTCACTAAGCCCTAATCATAATTTTAAACCATATTTGGTCTCCTCATAATCGACTCATCAAGTCTGTTTTGAAGCCATGGCGAAATATATATATTATATGCCGGTTTAGACTGAGTATTTTAACATTACACTGATGAAACTAATCAACTCAACCTTTTGTAGTTTCGGACCACAAAATAAAGGCGTGCACATGCGAACCTCATAGATATGGAACCATGACTAGCTAGATCTCTGTATATATTACTCAATAGATTTCATAAAGGGAGATGGTGCTCTTACATAAACCACAAGACTTATCTTGTGGAGGCTTAGCTATATAAGCAACTCTAGGCTTTTAGACTCGAACGTTGCATTGCTCTAAAATGTAAGAAGACCACTCTGCACGCATTCTACAGTAGTCTATACTAGTCCAGTCAACTATTATGCTCACTCTAAAATGTTAATTTATTTACATTGTTGTTGCGTCGTAACAATAAATGAGGTGCGGCGTTAGTTGTAGACTTGTAGTGGTCTGGTTGGTATGGTTTACTGTTGATAATCATGAGTTCTTGACTCCTACCTAGTGAATTATTGTATATGTGAGAAGTTTGTAATGATCAAATTATTGAATAAACTTTTTTGTAAGAGCTAAGGAAATAAGTTCACCATACGTTTTGCAACCAATTCACTAATATCGAAGGACCAATACAGGCGTGGCGAGCAAAGTCATTTTATCTTAACTGATACACACCCCTTTACTTATATTACAAAAACGAATGTGATGAAAAACAAAAAAAAACAAAAAAAAAACAAAAAAACGAATGTGATTATAAATTTGAGATCAACATGACCATTCCATCTTAGCTTATAATATTCTTGATCTCTCCTCTCACTTCTCTAACGTTATAAACACTTCCACAACCAATTCACTAAAATTACTTACTTAACAACTGACAACTCGAATCATCAAGAACACATATCATGCTGCCAATAACGTTAAAAATAAGGAATTGTGATGATGTTTGTCTTTTGTTTAGCATCCCGAATTTTATCTTTTTCTTTTTTTTTAGCGTGAAACATTCATTTAAAAATTTTAACCAAACGTAATTATAGGCGAATTTGCTACCTGTAAAGTTAAGGCGAAGGAGTTGTCAATTTGTTGTATGCAAATCCCACATAAGACCCAATTATAGGCCCAATAGTAACCAACAAAAAAAAAAAAAGTAACCAACAAAAGTGTATAAAAAGAAAAGCCTACAAACAGCTCTAGACGACTCCGTTTGAAAAGTTAAGGGGTACTTTTGTCTATTCCAAAACTCATCTTCCTCTTTGCATGTATTCCGTATTTTGAAAACAAAAACACAAATTTTACAATTTTATATCTGATGTAAAAATATTTATATTAACTTTTCGAGTATTTCTATCTTTAAATGCCAATCTAAATCATTAAACAGATCACAGTATTCATTTCCTATAGTTTTATTTATGAATTTGCAAAAATGTACTTTTCATACAAACCATGAACTTTTGTTTTTGTCAACACCATAAATAAATTTATTTTGAAATAAATTCTTACTAGGAAAAAAAACATAAAAATTGTTTTAAAAATAAAAGATAAATAAAGAACTCAATGATGTCAACAACAGCAACAAAAAAAAACTCAAATTCTTTATTGTTTTCCATTAAAAAAATTTTTTTTTTTTTTTGTCCATTGAAAATATATTTGTGCATCTCAGTGGATTGTTAATATATATATTGTGCCAAGTGTTAAGTGTCCATGTGAAATTTAGTCACAGCTGAACACGACCAGCATCAGGCATTTATATAAACCTTTCTCTACCTTCTCTTGACTACACACAATCATATCTTCACTGACCCAAAATGACGTTCTCTTCTCTCTCTGCTTCATTTCTCTTCTTTGCCTTCATCTTTGTCACGCATGCATTCGACCTCAGCATCATCCAGGTTCTTCTTGCTTTCTATAAGTTTATGGTTAACAATAAACAACCAGAACCGGGTTTGTCACTAACTGAATATAAATATTTTCTGTGAAGATGCAACAAGGAACATGTCCTTACACGGTGGTTGTCATGACTAGCTGCCTTTCTCCGGAGACGACAAGGGATCAGATCAGTATCGTTTTTGGCGATGCCGACGGTAACAAGGTTAATAATGTTACTAGATTTCTCTGGTAGACAAACAACGTTTTATTGGTTCGGTTTAGACTTTTTTTTTTTTTTTTAAATCTTTTTGCTTCAATTGATCTAGTGGATGAAAGATCACGGTTTAACTTGAAAGTTAATGGTAAGAATATCCGAGACTCCTAAAGATTCACCTTAGGCTTCAGCCTCAAATTTCATGGTTATATATTATAGTTATATATGATTAACTTCTTAATTTGCATGTGTGTTGTATGCAGTGATTTTGATAAGAATACTAAATATCAAACATTATGTTAGGTTTATGCACCGAGATTAGGCGGTTCGGTAAAAGGATCAGGGGGTTTGGGCAAGTGTTCAACGAACACATTCCAAGTCAGAGGTCAATGTCTGAATAACCCTATCTGCTCTCTCTTTATCAACCGGAATGGACCCGACGGTTGGGTCCCGGAGTCCATCGAGATATACGCACAAGGTTCAAAGTCCGTCAAATTCGATTTCAGCAAGAGCGTCCCTAAAAACACTTGGTACGGCCACAACAACTGCAACACCACAGGCCAGCCATCCTCTCCCGGTCTTCCTCCCCCGGAATTTCCGCCGGAGTTTCCACCGGAGACACCTTCCATCCCACCACCTACTCCACCAAGGCCGTCAGCAGCTGCTTATAGGCGTGGAGATGGTGAGAGTGTTTTCCTTGCGTTTGCCATTGCGGCTGCCACTGCGATCGCAGCACTGGTGCGTTAGGGCTACACTAGCATGTGTTTGATTGCGTGAGGCTTTATTTTCCGTCGAGTGTTTTTGTTTGTTTTCGTTTTGCTTCAGCCTCTTCGTCGTTGTAGAAAACATATTTACTTATAAAGTACATGTGTCCAAGTGCATGAGTTGCTATTTAGCTTTTGACTATTGGTACCAACTTTTGATACCATTATCAAGAGATTATCTATCACTTTGCTTTACCAGTGTTTGGATTAAATTTTTTACCAAATCGTATATGATCAATTTTAAAAAATTTATATACGCTAATATCATGAGTATTTTACTCATGATAGCTAATATGTGATCATTTTTATAGCAATCGAGTAAAAGTGTTTCAAGAATGCGTGAATTACTAATATAGATTCTATTGCGACAAACAAGAAAAATGAATTTCAATAACGTAGAAAACAAACCTCGAGGCATTTTTTTTATTTTTTGTTCCTCGAGGCATATTTGATCACTGAAAACATAAACTGACCTTGTAACTCTTTGATTAATACTAGTATTGAAGAGTTGTCGAAAACATGAATGCATGGAATTTGTCTGGTAGTAGTAGGTGGAGTTCATGTGGGAAGTGGCACCCACGTAACCCGATTCATGTCTCATCTTTAGACAAATTTCTTTCTATTAGAACTTTGTGTGTGTTCACGTGTCCTTTGAACTAAATTCGGGATTAAATACGTCTTTTAATAGTTCGGTTTTCACACGGTTGAAATATGAAGTGTCGGATAATTAAAGTTTTATTTTTCAAATAATTACACTTCAAAGTTCACTTGCTAACTGCACCACGCTAGCTAGCTGTACGTACTCATTCAAACTACAAAGAACATACAATTGTTGCTTCGTTAGGATCTTAAAATTAATCCGAACCGAAATGGTGAAAATATATGCTTTACAAATATTGATATTGAGGTAATCAGGTTAGATCTTCTACTTTTATTATTAATCCGAACAATTGAATCGAATCGGACCAATAAATAGAGAAAAGAAAAGTAAACAGATTCCGTTCGATCGCATAGTCCATAAAGCCCAACTAATAAGGCCCATCAATAGACGCAAATGCGTGATCAACCCCCCTTCCATTTTCCATTTTCCATTTTCCACTTTCAAGGTCCATGAAGAAATAGAGTAAACGAGTAATTGTTTTACAACGGTCAAAACTATAATAAGAAAAGAAAAAAAAATTGTTTTTTTAAATCACAACAATCCAAATTGCACGTACAGTATCTATAAAATCCAGTGGATCGATATTCAAGATTTTTGTTTTTTAAAAAGAAATATATATACTTATATATAAGAACCCTTTCCTCGACGTAATCTCTGGCCATTTACAATTTAGTTTTTCGTTGAAGACAAAGACAACGGAAAAGACAAAATCACCCGAGGTATAAACTATAAACAATATGCCATTGTAATATCTTACGTCACCACAACGTTAAATTAAGAAAACATACAATCTTAACATTGTCATATAGGAAAACGACAAACCATATTATCAAATAATATTTGTTAAAAATTACGTATAATGAATTAAATAAATAACATATTACGCTCTGATGAACATGTTTAGCATCTAATGTTTTATTTTAGTTAACACAATTATCTACAGTTAAAAATATTTTTTACGCACCGTCTTCTGTATCAACATGTTAGACCATCCTTATCAATGGGTTCTTAGATAATTCTTAACTTAATATTAGGTAATTTTTTTTTTAAATTTAAAAGTTAAATGATGATTTTTGTTAAGAATGTCTTTTATTTAAGAGGAAAAAATGAGTCTCTTACCTCTTTAATTCTTAAGAGCCAAATTTAAGAATCTATTGTTAATGTTGCTCTTATATATATAACTATCTCCGAACTCAAATGGATTAAAACTATTTGATTGTGATTTGTGACTAAACTAAATGATTATAGATTCACAATGTTGAGATAACATATGCCAGTTATTGTTATTGTATTTGGAACGATTTTTTTTTTATATATATACTTTGAGAGTATGAGAGATGCTTATAATGCTAGTACAATATTTGAATTACTGTTTTACCGTCCTACCACATAAAATACTTATATCTTAATTCATTTTATCACTGGTGTAATTTAAGTTAGTATCTTAGTACATTATTATATAGATATGGAGATAACTGAATACGCCAATATGGAGATTTTATATAGTAAAAAAACTGATGGCCAAGGACTAAAGCACATGAACTGACTTATCTCGATTGAAGCGATTACCATTGTGAGAATCTAAATTTAGAGATGGGCGAAAAAAATACTATGAAAATGATCCAATATATATCATCTGTAATCTGTTTATTACTGTTATGCATTTTAACTGTTTTATTCGGCAGTCGTAAAACAATCTTTAAAACTTTCTCTTCAAAACTGTTTTTGATATTTTAAAATTTTAGAAAATGAAAAGGTTCAACTTTGTTTCGATAACGACCACAAACTGTTTGCATGACGTTAAAATCTGGTAAGCATAATCAACCAAATAAAACAATGATTTTAAAGCTAATTTAGACCACCAAGAGACATCTCTTAATAATTCTCAAACTAAGAGCTTAAGAGTTAGCTAAGTGACCATATTTCGTGAACAAAAATAAATTAAACAAACGGCATGATGATGTATATTCATTCCGTCTTATAACAGTCAGGGATAATGTTTGATTACAATTTATAACAGTTATTGTATAGTTTATCCCTATATTAAATTCATTAACTAGTTCATATAATTTGGAGATTAATATTGAGTTTTTCGTATAATATATCATCTAACCAATTTTTGTACATGAATTATATCAACTAATTGTCTCTGCGTGCGTCAATATGTTCACAATGCATGCTTGGTACATATACAAAATCTTGGAAAATGTGTTTTGGAATGTAGCTTTTTAAGTTTCCAGATTTCGTACCATCTTATTCGAAAGCGTACAAAAACAATATCTTATAGAAAAATATCTCAAATGATATGATACATGATCTAATATATATGTATTCTGACATATATCATTAAAATGTAATATAAGAAAGCGATATTTTCTTCTCCAAAAAATGCATTTTTTCCTTATCTCTACATAGACACAATCAGTTTCGATCATTTTTTCATATTAAGAAAAACTAGTTACAATGTGAATGATTAGATCGTCTCATATAGTTGACCAAACAAGTAAGACAAACTATACAAAGTACATATCATTGTAGTGAATATCTGTAATAAAAGAAAATTAGCATAGCCTAAAAGTATATCCATTTTTATTTAGAATTAATAATAGAAATGAGCAGAAATGTATTGAGCCCCAAAGGTGTATCGTTCTATCTAAGAGGGACCGAGGGAGGTGATTGAAACGATACCTAAGTGTGATCGGAGACCACGGATATTGAAAATCCAACACTGTGATAGTGAAAGAGCAAGAAGCTAAGTTATCCGTTGTTGCATGTTACTTAACACTAGCGGCAGGGGACCATTTCCTTTATTTGCAAGCTTACGAACGAATACATATTTTTTTTTTTTTTTGTTTTGTTTTGTGTGTTTTGTATTATATATTACGATTCAATACTTTTTACAAGCAAATAAAAATATATAAATCATAGAATCCAATCCGAAAGAAGAAAAGACAAGGAGAAGAGAAAACACTAAATAAGAAAGACCTAAAAAAATGGTGTCGTAGAGCTGTGGACAGGGATAAAAAGATGGCTGTCGTGAAGTGTGACGGCAAGAAACGAGACAAAAATTAGGCACGTGAATCACGTGAAGAGGGCCTTCTCATATGAGGAGAAATGAGGAGAAGCAAGGGGATGGCCCATTGGGCCTTTACATATATGTATTGTTTTATCTATTTAACTATTTATTTAGCTGCAATCAAACAAAATTTCACGTTTACGTCGTTTTGTCCTTTCCTTTTGAGTTACAAATAATGTATTAATGGTTTTTGCGAGATTTATTGGTTGTAGATTGTAAATACAAAATCACTACTATGTATTATTTTTATTTTTTTTATCTATAACCCTAAAGATTTATGCGTTATTCACTTATTTGTTTAAAATTGTAAATAGTAAAAGTTCGGTATGTTTTTTGCTGCTGAATTTAAAAGGTTTTAATTTCTTAGTGAACTATAATATCATACTATTCATATTAGGATATGAAATTTTTATACATATTTAATTTAAACTAATTGATATAACGAATAAATGAATTCACGTTTCTTATATATTGACTCACAAATTAGTTCATACAGAAAAATAGAATGAATATATAGAAAAATGCAAAAAAAAAAGGGAAGAACTCGTCATATTTTTCCTAATCAATTTCTCATCATCGTAGATTCTGTTTCGAAAAAAAAAAAAAAAAAAAAAAAGCACGTAGCAGTAGTAGTAGTAGTACATTGTCTTATTACATGGCACAAGTACAACCATCCATGTCTCCAGATAATATTACGTAGAGAACAACACGCACAAAACGTAATCGATGGACAATATAATGGTATTGATTTTTTTACATTGCGGTCAAATCGAGATTTTGTTTCTTTTCTCAGCAATGGAATCTAATATTCGTGTGGAGTGGAGACATAAATGAATAGTGGAATCAGCAAAAGATTAGTATTATTCATACGTATGTATTAATTTAGTAATTTATAAGGTGGGGCAGTTTTTGGATGTATTGTTTTTTCGTCTTTAGCCTTAATACAAAACATCGATTGCAGCTTCTCAGAGTAATGACTCCGCACAATCTTCTGTCTCTCTCCTTTTTATTTTTTTTTTCTTTTTATTTCCCCCAGAATATATTACGTTTCCAAGATCATGATTTCTCACTGTGATTTGTTTAATTAATACTACTATGTTTCGTTCCTAATAAACTTTTGACATATTTACATAATGATTTGTGTACATATTTGCCCAAATTGAAAATGATATAATTAGTGCGTTATGACGATTGACGGATGAGACCTAATGTTTGTTTTTCTTTTTAAGGTTAAAAGAGCTTATGCACTAACTACTAGTACTAAAAAATAAACATAAAAACATTGATTGACTTTCTTCAAAAACTGAACGTTCACAAAATTTAAGAAGACACCTAATAAAATCAAGTTTGAGAAAGAGAGAGTATTGCCAGGTGAAATGAATCAAATGATTTAAAAGATAATATAATTTATAATTTTATTTGAAGTACATTTTTTTAATACGTTTAATTAGTGGTCCT